TCCAATTATTTATACAGATTTACAACTCAAACAATCTATTTCAAAGTTTCTTTTATATTATTTAAGTCGTCCATTTATTCACAAGATCTTGCCAGATCATGAAACTATTAACATAAAAAACCACCAAATATTATGTTAGATATTTTTTAGCAAAAACAACAGCAGGAAAATGGATAAGACAATAAAATCATGTTTTAGAGAATATAACTCATAGCTAATAGAAAGACCACTTGATAAAACGAAACCAACATGCATCGAGAAAATCGTAAAAGTAAAAAACGAGATCTTTGTGAACCTAACAGAGAAGGCATTGAAGCAAAAAAAACCAGAAATTTGAACCTAACAGAGCACAAAACCAGAGCAGAAATCTAATAGAGAACTTTGTGAATCTAACATAGCATAAAATCAGAAATTTAAGAACATATGACACTCACAAAATCAGCTTGGTTCCTCGAAGATCTTATGCGCAAAGAGACTCCAAACTGGTCCATTTTCTTCATTTGAAATCGCAAGGTCGCAGATGAAGATAGGGTGGGCTACAATGATGTTCTTCAAAACAGAAACTCAGTCGGTTCTTTAGGAAGGCCAGGGAATGAGGAGTAGAAATATTGCTTTGAATTTTTCATTAAAAGTGGTCTGGTCGGAGAAAGGAGCGGCGGTTGTGCTATGGTTTGAGGGCAAGAAGAGAAAACATGTTTCTGAGTTTTTTTTAAATAAATAAATAAGCTAGTTGGAGTGTTTAAAGTTTACATTTTAAATCATTAAGAAATTAAACAATTTCAAGTCATCAAACTTAATGTCAGCTGGAGCGACACACATAAGTTAACAGAATTTGACAAAAATGAAGACTAAAGTGATACATAGATTGACATTTTAGTTAAGTAAATATATTGTTTATATTGTATGTTGTTTAAAAATCAACTTCTCTAATTTTTTTAAATGTTGTTATTATGTTTTTAATATAAATGTTTAAGTACTTTAGTTAAGTAAATATATTGTAGGTTGTTTATATGTTATAAAAAAATTTAGAATAAAATTGAAATAAAAAATAGTATAAAATATGTACTTTAGTATTATAAGATAATTTAGTAATATATTATAGTTTAGTAATATATTTTAGTATTATTTTTAATAATTGATAAAGGCGACATTACTCGTTATATGATATTGACTTTCAGTTTTGTGTGGTGACTTAATTCCTCACAAATATTTATTTTGTGATGTGGATTTTACATTTGTAAGGAGTAGGAATGTCAACGAGATAAGGAATGTATGAATAAGCTTTCTCGTCTTTTGCCCTACTCCTAATTTTATTTTTATGTCCCTGATTCCTATTACCGGGGAATATTATTCTTCATCCTCATCTCCACAGATTTTCACAAAGAACTAGAGATTCATAGAGATTGAATCTTAAATTTTATTTTATCCTTTTCGATCAAAACTATGACATTAGTATTTTGTTATTATTATAACTAGCGTCCAGACGGGCACTCGCGTGCCTGTCTGTCCGCTTTTTTATTGCACACATATAAATATAAATGATATATTTTTATTTAATATTAATTTTACATGGAAGTTATGTGGGAAGTTATTAGTATGAAGTTATATGAAAGATGATAGTAGTAGTTCAATGAAAGTTATTGTGTAAGTTATATACTTTAAAATAAGGGTAAATTTGGTATAAAAAAAAGCTACACCAAAAACCAAGTATTGCCTTTATATATGTTATAGAAGATTATAGATATAACTCCCTACTAATAACTTCCCATCATCTTTCATATAACTCCCTACTAATAACTTCTCACATAACTTCCATGTATTCATAATCTATAACATATATAAAGGTAATACTTGGTTTTTGGTGTAGTTTTTTTTTATATCAAATTTACCCTTATTTTAAAATATATAACTTACACAATAACTTCCATTGAACTACTACTATCATCTTTCATATAACTCTCTACTAATAACTTTCATATAAAATTAATATTAAATAAAAATATATCATTTATATTTATATGTGTACAATAAAAAATCAGACAGACGGGCACGCGAGTGCCCGTCTGGACGCTAGTGAAAGATGATAGTAGTAGTTCAATGGAAGTTATTATGTAAGTTATATATTTTAAAATAAGGGTAAATTTGATATAAAAAAAGCTACACCAAAAACCAAGTATTGCCTTTATATATGTTATAGATTATTATTTTAAAACACATATTTTTCATCTTTATTTTAAAAGAAAACATCTTGCATCAATAATAAATAAAAATTAAAAAAGCACTTGCAGAAAACATAACCACTAATTTATTTATTGAATAGAAAATAAGTTATTAATTGAAGTATAATGAAGTTTAAGAGTAATTATCATAAGTACAATGAACAAAAGAAAGTGGTAGTTGTGATGATAATGAGACTAGGGGAGATGAGGAATGAAGGAGACAAAGAGAATTGATAAAAGAAGAAGAAGATACAGTATGTAATTGGTGCACTTTTTTAGGGTCGGATACTTGAGTAATGAAAAAATACATTATACAATGAAACAAAACAAAAATCCACTAATGACTCTTTATTTTCTAATATATTAATTGATTTTTTTTATAAATAATATGGTCGGAGTCGGGGAATCCACGGGGCAGAGGTGTTAGCTTGCCAATTCGACGACCCATGTTTGGAGGCTATTTTCAGCTTGTTAAAGGACCTACAAGTCTTCCAAGGACTTAGAAAAATTGAAGTCTTGAAATTAGACATTTTGACTTAAGCAGCGAAATGGTATCTTCGACCGAGATTTAGAAGTAGGGACGAATTGAGTTTTGAAATTTGAATATTGGAGGGAGTAGTTATATTTTCTTATGACTAAGAAGGACAAGTGGCGCTCATCGGACAAAGGACTGCATGCGGTGTGACACTTGTCAGGAATAGATGGCCTAAGGAGGTTATTAGCAGTTATTATTATTATTATAAATAGGAGTCTTAGACATAAACTTAGTGTGTTGTAATTTACGGTTGTACAAGTCACTCTTAGAATTACTCTAAGTATCCGAGTGTAGAGAAAAAGAGTATTATAGAGAATGTATGTTATGTAAACACACCATCCCTTATCTTTTTAATGAAGTTACTTTGTTCTCTTTACTTTTTCCAAGTACTTTTACATGTTTATTTCGTCTTTCCTTTTGTCCACCATTACTACTTCGACTAAGTTTGTCTCTCCAAAAAAAATCTTTATCTCTTTTCCCTCTTGTAATTCTTCTTCCTTATTTCTTTTAAACATAGTGGATAACTTCTGCCCCTTTTAAATTATTTCTTCTTGGTATTGTTGAAACACATTTTTAGATAGGTTCAAATAGAAATTTCCTTTAGCACATATCCTAGGATTTTGTATGGTCAATCCTGCAAGTTAGTCAATTTGACACCAAATTGATAGACCAGAGGTTGTTTACCAAAAAACACGGTAAAGAAGAGGGTACTTTCTCGATCCTCATTCCGAAGTGTAATCGGGAGAATTTTTCCCTCCATATCTGTCCCCATGGAAAAAAATCCCGACTTCGAAGCTACAAATAGATAATTACCACATTGATCTCCATTAACAGTTGCAAATTGACATCCCTAATGAGGGGTTTAACTTTTGACAAAACACTCTTTTTCTTGTAGTGACCTTTGAATTTAAGTATTCAATCATTTGTTCTTCTTAAGAACTCTTATTAATATAATAGAGAAACTAGGTAGCTATCACTTCAATGAAAGACCACGATGATAGTGGTCGTTACTTTATTGAGCTAGTCACACTAGATTATGTGCTAGAAATCGACACACACTTTAAAACTATTTTTTTCAACTGATATCCGATTAAGCTTATGTTTGTTGGTGGATATTTTGTTGACTGTTGATTAAAAGATAACACGTATTGGAATATCCACTACACATGTAACATGCTATAGGAGGTGGTGGAAAATAAAAACACAATAACAGTCAATATGGAGTGGATATAAAATTCCTCACACTTATAGGAACCTTGAGAATCAACAACAAATATAAGACGACAAGTCGAACAAATAAAGACACAAAAGAACATCAATATTTTAATGTGGAAAATTACTCAATATGAGAGTAAAAATCACGAGTCATCCAGACAAAAGAAATAGTTCCACTATAATCAACTAAGACTATAAGAGAGTCTTAAAGTGATTCACAACCTAGTGTTAACAATCGCAAATCACAAAGCAAATTAGCATACAAATTAGAATCAAAAAGCTAAAAAGATTACCCAAATTTGTAGCTTCAGTGCGAAGCAAATATATCTCAGCTCATATTTTGTTTTAAAATTCTGAACGGTCAAAAGTTAGATACAAGTGTTGCGAATCTACCCTCCAAATTTGAGCTCGATCCGATAGTTAACGAATTTAAAATCGTCGATTTAGTAATACTAATCGTAGAAAAACGAGAATAAATTTCTCTCATCTTTTCTTTCTTTTGAATCATTATTTTCTTTTTATCTCCCTCAATTTTAAATTCATCATTTCCACTTAAATAAGTGAGAGAAATAAACTAATTAAATTTGAATCTTTCTCCATATAGAAAGGGAGTTCAAACCCAACAAGAAAAAATATATTGAAATTATTGTGTCTCGCAAATCATCTCCTTTGTCGACTTCGAATTACTTATTTTTTTTAGAATGTTAACTTTTTTTTTAGTGACAATCCTCTACAATAAGATTAAAATTTCATCTATAACACTACTAAAGATAGAAACAAAACCAGGAAACATCAGATACAACTATTGGCCCAAACATAAAACCTTCATAATCCATTCATAAAACGTACATGATTAATTTGAAATCTTACTCAAATACATTTTCAATTAGAGCGCTTCATTCCATATATTCACTTGTTGCTCAACAATCAGGTTTCTAAATGCAACATTTAAAACACCACACTAAAATTAAATACACATTAAAAACAAATGATGCACCACTATAGATCCCCTTTAACTAAAACATTACATCTCATTTGTTGTTCATATAGACATTAAAAAAATTGACAATGGAACCATTGAGAGTACCATATACAGGTCCCCCGGTATTATTTATAAGACCAGTAATGTTCGTCCGGTTGCCGCCGTCAGTAGAAGAATCACCTGCGCCGGAAGAAACATGAGAATAAGCTTTCCTCATAGCTACTACAGCCTCTAAAGGTGAAGTGTGTCGTGAAGGACCCGTTAACAAACACATAAAACAACCTTTTCCAACATCATACCAAACCTTAAACACAACCATAATACACCACTTTTCTTCTGCGTACATGTGTGTCACAAACAAAGCATCACTACTATGTGTATCCTTATGCTTTGAAGCAACAAGAAAACCACATCTAACCCATGGAACTCCATACCCGATGCTAAACTGTCCCGCGTCTTTGCGGACGTCTAAGGCTTTGCCACCGTATGTGAGATCAACGGTGCCGATCTGACGGCCAACCTTGATGTTTACTCTGGTTCCTTCTTTATCAAAAGTATAGTCCTTGAGGGTGACACTTGCGGTTTCTACTCCGAGGGTTGCGCGAATGGTGCAAGTATCTGAATTTGGAGTTGAGTATACAACAGTTTGGTCATCGCCGTTGGGACTCTTGGACACGTCGGTTCTTGATATGTTGTTAGGGGTGCTGCTAGTGCTTACGGTGCTTCCCATCTCTCCTGGTAAATGGCCTTGTTTGTTATGATGCTTTTGTGACTTTGTGTTGTAATTAAGCAGCTGAGTGGATTCTTATTAGCTTAGAATGGAAGCACAGTATATATTTATTGGATATCCTTTTCTTAAGTGTTATTATAATTATCTCTTATCCATTTAAGATTTTAGATTCGATCTTGTACATAATGGTGGTTTCTTTCTTATTGCATATTATTTCAGGTTATGCCGAGACCTACTTTCATCTTCATGATACCGGGTCACTAGATATCAGGCCTTAATAGCATCTTTAACTGTGCAACCTACACAACAACAAATCTAACAATAGAAGATCTCTCCAAATCATTCTCATATATTTCTTCCACAAACACTGGACACATTCAAAGAAACAAATATCCTTGATATAAAATTCTTTTTATCAAGGGTATCCCACTGAGGTATTTTTAGATTCTTTGTAAAACTCATTAAACCACGTCATATTAAAACAATTTATTTAATTTCAACATCTATAATACAATTTTAAATAACTCTTATCTTATATTAATATTTTATTCATATTAAATTATATTTTAATTTAAAATATTTATTTATTTTAAAAGAGGTCCCACAATTCTACAAAAGTTACAATTTTTTAATATTATTTTATTCATTCTATCGTTGCATTGTGAAGCAACATATGTATTACATGGCGGGCCTCAATGCATATTTAATTAATAAAATTGGCTTCCAGTTGACAATACAAAATAACAATTGGTCCACTGAAAATGGTCTAATAGACTTATTTAGTTGTGACTTACTAACGTTTATGAACCAACACATAATTTAGTCAGTAAGTTCATAATATATGTCAGGATTTTTTTTCTAACCAAAGAAATGTATTGATGAAATATAAGGGATAGTCAATTCAATACAAAGGGAGAAAGAGAAGGGAAAGACAACCCAATACTAGCCCAACTCAATCAAATGAATACATAAAATCAAAAAAGAAAAATTGATCTAACTAAAATTATGTTTTTTTATGGGACAGATGTCAAATACGATGTCCTAAACAACTAATTCGACAGGTTAAACTAGGATCATCACAATTAATACATATTCAATTGTACAAGATGATGGAGCATAAAAGCAATAAAGAACATAATAAATGGTAATTCAGTTTAATGCAACAACACCTACGTCTAAAAGGTTGGCTTCCAACTCAAAAATAAAATTCACTATTAGTAATTTAGCACAATTAGTCTTATAAGCAACAATAATCTTTATATTGTTCAATGTCTCTTCCTAACACGACTCATTGCCTTTCTATTTAGGATTCTCCTTAAATATGAGAACTCCTCTCATACTCTCTCAATCACTAAATTCTATTAATTGGTCTTTAGCTCAATTATCAATAATGAATATTACAAGTCAACTAGACAAACCTACAAAATGTCAAGTTATTTAAACATGGTGTGGTGTACATACAACAATAACAAGGACTCTAAACCCTAGCACTCTTATATCTTCAATGTGTTTATTATTTTCCAATGTAGGTTTTGAGCTCCTTATATAACAAAAGTATTGTTAACTTTTTCTCTTTGGATCTTACCTTTAATTTCGTCTAGAATTTTGTTCCATAAATATCTCTAATATAAATATATGATTTGGTTTAATTCTAATTCAAATTTTAATCGCATTTTAAATTGATTTGATCTTCACAATTGTCTAAAAATTTGTATAATCATAGTGCTAAATAAAGCAATAAAATCTAACTGAATCTTCACCAGAAATTTTGTTCCAAAAAGCAACAATTTGGCCTGTTGAGCAAGGCCCGCATGTTATACCAACATGTGACATCGCGTCCAGCATGTCTCCCTTCTGCACTAGAAAATCATCTTGAAGCAGTTTGGCAAACTTAAACACTTCCACTCTTTCATCCTCATCAGCACCTCTTCTTTCTCTCATTCATTTAAAACACAAGTCAAAACACAATGAAACTCTATGAAAATGTGAAAGAAAAAGGTTATCGACGAGGGAACGCAATTCTTAGTAGTGGTGTGGTTACGATTTGGAGGTCAGAGTAGAAATGTTCATCGGAAGATAGAGGAAGCAGCGCGTACGGAGGGTTCATCAATCGTGAGTTGGGTGATGGCAAGAGCTAAAGCACACGGTAATTTTATGTTTCCTCTCTTTCTTCTATTCTGATTATATTCCTATTGTGTTGTTGTTGTTGTTAAGGAATGGAGGTGAGTTAATAAGGATTGAGTTGAAGGTTTTGAAGGAAGAAGAAGGTCACTCACAAGGCGATCGGTAAAAGCTTCTAACCAAACTTTTCTTTCTTTTTTTCTGTTTTGTTGTTATTTTGTCAAAGTGAAGGTTGAGGTTTATGTTATGGTTGAAGAATTTGTTGTTGGTTGTGGTTTATGGTAAAAGAAAAAGGTACGGAGGATGAAGAGGAATGGATGATTGTTTTGATGGAGGAAGTGTCGAAAAGAAGTTTGGTCTAGAAGTTTTGTGTGATTTTAGTAGCATTTTCTCAATGTATTTGGTTCTGTATTTTTCTTTGTGATTTATGGCCGCTCTATTCACTACTATTCGCTCAAATTTACAGTGAAATATTTAGAATTTTTGTGTGGTTTTAGAGATAAAAAGGATCACTCTAAACATCAGAAAAATGCATCAAAATTGACATTATATGCAATGCATGGCTTGAAAATTTTGCATGGAAATGATGTTTTCAAAGTGAAAAAAAGGAAAGAAAGCATCTTGGACTTCTTTTCTTTTCTTTTTCTAGTTTTATTTTATTTTTCAAATAATAATAATAATAATAATAATAATAATTATTATTATTATTATTATTATTATTTTATTTTTATTTTTTATTATTATTATTATTATTATTATTATTATTATTATTATTAAACTATTTTTTGAGTTACAAATAGATTTTTCATTTCATAATTTTAAAAGAAAACTAATAATAATGATAATAATGATAATAATTATAATAAACACAATTAAATTTAAAACTAAATTCCACCTATCTTTTAATTAATTTTTTATAGAAAATGCATGTATTAAAAAACTAAATCCTAAAATGAGTGCTCTAGACCCGAACAAAATTCGGGTGTTACACCCTCGTGAAGAGGAAAGTCATTTCATATTTGGTGTTTGAATGAACACTGTATAGGAAAGGCTTGTCTATTCCCCTATTGAAATGTCTTGAAGAGGCAAAGGAAATGTATATTATCACCAAAATACATGAGGAAATATATGGACAACATCTAGGAACACGAGCGATAGCCAAGAAAGTCCTCGAAGTCAGATGTTTTTTGTCGTCCATGGTTTGAGATGGCAAAGAATACATGAAGAAGTGTGATCAATGTCAACGACAAAGGGACATCCAGAACGCACCCCCATAGGAGTTGCACAAGATAAGTTCACCATGGTTATCATTTCTATGAGGTGTGTAAATCATTGGCCTCTTTCTTCGTGTTATTGACAAACTTAAACCATTAATCGTAATGATCAATTACCTTACAAATTGGGTGGAAGTTGACGTTCTGGCTAAAATCACAGTTGCAAATGTCTTGAAGTTCTTTAAGAGAAATATCTTGGTCAGGTTCATAATCCCTCAAGCCATTGTAACAAATAATGGAACCGAATATATATACAGAAACCTAAGGGTCTTGCTGGAAAATTAAGGGTAAAACAACATTTCACATCAATAGAACACCTCAGGCGAACTGGCAAGCGGAAGCTAAAAATCATGTGTTATTGAGAGGGCTAAAAAGAAGTTACAAGTTGCCAAGGAGAACGAGATAGATGATCTCCCCCAAGTCTTTTGAGCGTATCAAACGACTTCCCACTCAATGAGAAACGAAACCCCCCCCCCCCCCCTTATGTTGGCATACAGGACTGAACCCTTCGTTCCAATAGAAGTTAAGGAACAAATTTCAAGAACAGCGCAACATTTATTTGAAGAAGACAATACCAAATAATCAGAGAAGAAGTATACTTTCTTGAGGAAAAAAGGGAGATTGTTGCCTTCGCAAACGTCACCATCAAACAAGCTAATGCAGAACGATACAAAAGCACGTCCTACCTAGAGAATTCTATGTCGAGGATTTCATATTAAGATGACTGATGTGGGGGAAAAGAATGCAAGAGATGGGAAACTTGTAGCCAAAGGGTCGTACAAAGTCCATGCTAACACCGGGAAATGAGAGTATACCTTAGAGACCTTGGTGGGAGGATCAATTTTTCTTAAAAAATATCATGAATTCTATAATATTATATATGTTAGATAAGCAAATATTTATTAATATTTTTTAAATATTTATTTTTTAATATTTTTTAATTCAATATCAAATTAATGTTTTAAATCATATTTTATAGTGGTAAATTAGTAAATTATTTTTTTATCCTGTCTTGCTAGATTCTAGCATAGCTCATACTCAAGATAAAAAATTTAAGTAGTGAGGCATGATAGGATAAGTTTCAAGATTAACTTATCATATCTTGTTGTATCATCAAACACTGAATTGAGATACAATATGATAAAAATATTCGATCTTGTCTCTTATCCTACACACCAAACGGACCCTTAGTATTTTGTAGCTTGGAGATTTGACAATTATTAATAAAGCTGTGCAAATCATGGTATACTTCAAAAGTATACAATATTTATGAAGTCTCTTATCCGATGATAAAACGATGATGGAAAATGTCAACCGTTGTGATCAAATCATATTGTTTTAGAATATCTCAAAATTTATGATCCTCGGTGATTAATTGAATGGACATGTCTGTAATGGACTGGTTTATTTTGTTGTTTATACCTACTTTCACATCCAACGATTTGTAGAGAAGGATACACCATGGCATACTTGGTGTTCCCTTTTGGAAAATATTTATCGAGACTTCTTAATAAAAGAGATAAACATTATTTTAAGGTGAAAATAATCAAAAACTTCTAATTAAACCCTTAAAATAATGAATTCATTCTTGCTTATCATAATAAA